GATTAAGGGCCACGTGCATCTCGATCTACGTGGACCTTAATATAAATAAAAAACCCAAAATATTGGGTCGTTTTTGCTTGGGTGGCATAGATATTTTTTACCAAACTATAGCCTGTAGATAGAAGAAAAATCGGGCTACAAAATAGTGAGAATAACAAAATTCTAGCTTGCTCTCTGGTCAATATTATGAAGCAAGAAGTTCAGGATAGGAATAAGGCGTGGTTATCGCTCTCTGTCAGAAAGCATATTTATAAAGAGAAAGCCTGACGCTACGATTAATTTGCAACAGCATTCTACCCATCTTGTAGAGAATTCAATTCTCTACCAACCTACATGATTAGAAGAAAATTAAAGTTCAAACATAAATAGTTATAGGTCTGACAGGTAACTAACAGGTACTGCGAATATTTATGCGAAAAAATAGATGATTATTTCTACGATACTCTTTAAAACATTTATTAATTAGCCTATTCGATACAGTTCTTGATGCTCTTTCGAATGACTATTTGAAAGCCAATTTTAATCTAGTTGTAGTAGAGAAAAGCAGGTTTACCGAACACATGCTCTGAAAATTAAGTGCCTTCTAGAAAAATCTCTCTTTCGAGATACTTCCGAAGCCGTGTAATGTATTGTAAACCAAGATAAAGCACTGTTTCTAGAGTTCTTTGTATGAGGTTTTTAAAAAATGACTGTAACTGGTTCCTTCTTAGTTCTTCACAGTTTTCATAAAAGTTGTATGCGTGCTGTACAGTTTTTGGTTTCATACTACGGTTTTTTTGAGCTTTTTCTAGTTTACGCGGTTTTCTCGACTTTTTAAAGTCGTTTACTACTGTTCTTTTTCACTTTTAGAAAAGAGAACGAATGTTTCCTCGAATGAACAGTAGATGAGTGCGCAAAACGTTTGTATTGGAACGAAAAACGTTTTACAGTGCCTATTTATATCGATTAAGGAGAAAAACTGACTTTTCTAACAAAAAAACAGAATATGTAGGGTTTTCTTGGGTTCAAAAATATATGGTTTTTTGCTGAGGTTAGTTCAGCACTATATACTAGCATGATACTGTAGCATGATACTGTAGCACTGCAGATGTGCTAGAGATATTTTTGAACTTTTTCATTAGATTTAAAATTTTATTACATTTACTCAGCACATATCCTTCATGATCTTTTCAGTTTGATTTGTTTGTGTTAAAATCGCTCCCAGATGATTGCGTTCAGTAACTTCTTTCAGTACTGTTTTACTAATAAGATCGGGCGTAAATGTGTTTTGTTTATGGTTAAAAGTCATGCTTTCCCATTTATTGTAAAACTTTTTCAGCTATTGGAGATTTAGATAAAATATATTCAATGAAAATCAAAACCAATCCGAACATAGTTCTTTGTCTAATCCTCTAGTGTTCCTTTTAAATCTCTTCGATTCTCATCCCGTAAACGCGTAGCGACGATATTGCATGCATGATCATCGAGATTTCCCAGCATTATTTGCTGGAAAGCATTGATGGAGTAAAGTTTCAGCTTACTTGAACATCCATGGGTCTCGTCTACGCTGTAACGCTTACATTTATAAAACTAGTTTATCATGTGAAAAATCTGTCCGTATGGCGAGATGTAGTATTACTATTTTATTCATCAGTATCTCATTTCAAGCCGACGAACATTATTAAAATAGCACCTCAAGAAAAACTTGTGAAAAGTTTGCAAGAAAGGGTAGAGAGGTTTTGGTCGCTTCGCTTTCGACGCTCTTGGACGATAGACGTTTAGGTCTGAAACGGCTTTCAGGCCATTTTCTGATTCAGTTTTCAGAGCTGAACAAGAATATGGCAATTTAAATAATCCAAGTTGGCATGAAATTTGGAAAACTCAATTTTATAAAAATAGGCGAAAAATCGAGCGTTTTTTACAGCCTTCGAGTTTTTTTGATTTTTCAAACGGAAGGAAACCTCGAAAAAATTTAAGGAACAAATATTCTTGCTTACCGTAAAATTCTCTATCGAATGCTATATAAGACATCGAAAAAACATTTTACTGTAACCTTGCTTTACGTGTACCTTACATTTTCGATGCTACAGTTGAAATGTTCATATCTTAACCAAATAGGCCCATTCAAGCAAATGCTTTTAGGATTCAACTAGTCTCACTAAGTACTACTTATGACATAAATATGGGCCTTAAAGTTTTTAATCAGTTGGTGGGGTTCCCTCGTGAGTGAAATTCCAACTTTTTATTTTCCTTGACGGAATAAAAACTGAACAAAAAACTGTTTCGAAAAGTGGGTATTTGAAAAAATCATATTTCTCTTACAACAAATACAAAATGTAATGGAATCTGTGTCTGTTGTAAATGTAGTTCAGCTTTCTTGCTCATTGCATTGGAATATTTTCGAGTTCAATCACGATCTTACCCGAATTTTCCTCAGTTGATTTCACTTGAAATATTGATAGCGGCAAAACTAGAATTTCAGCTTCGTTTTCATATTCTGAGAGACACGGAAGATCATGTGACAATCGTCTCAAATCAATTGCTGTATTACATATCTGTGAAAAGTTGAAGATTATCAGAACGCTTTGTTTGTCAGCATGAGGATGTGAAGCGCCAGCAAACCGTTCAGCAACATGACGATCCACTGATGTTGAACAGAATGTTTTTGTACTGATTACTGCTTTACTCTTCAAAGCCCAACGATAGGCACGTAAATCAGCTGTTGTAATCTTAACACCACGATACGATCTTCCCTAAAAATAGACATGCATGGGTTCCGGTTTTACTAGACAGAATCGGAACCGGCACCAATCAACTTTAACCGGAACCGAGCCTTTCTGCATAAAAAATTTAAATCTTTGCCAAGCAATTTTTTCCTTTGAAAAATAGACCGTTTCTTTGAGAAAATCAGTTTTCCTAACTTTTGACCCGGAAGATGTGGTTCTAGAAGATTGAGCCAAGCAGAAAAAAACTTGTGACATTACATTTTCAAAAAATCTTTCTTTGAGGACAGGGTACCCCTCTTTTTCGATTCTGCCTAGCCGTCCCG